CTTCCCCTATTTTCCTTCCTCCCACTTTCTCTTAGAAACATTTGACTAAACATTGACTAAAATCAGATGTAGTCAATATGAGGCATATGTCTTATATGTGGTTTGTCTCTATCTACTCAAGGATCCTTTTCTAAGGTAATGAAATGCTTCAGCTACTAGCTATTACATTCTTCGCAAATTTCTGTTGGATACTTTTTTGTTGTTCTGTGCCCACAATGCTAGCTCTCCTTGTCCTCCAAAGACAGAGGAATGCTATACTTACAGAATAATGTGCATACCATTGGAGTGATACATGATTTGATCGTGTCAAGACAATAAAGTGATAGTTTGTTCCCTAGACCTATTGGATGGTGATGTTTATTCTTGTAAGAAGTGATATAGTCTCCATTCCCATTGTCATTTGTTGGTTGGAATGCCTTCACGTTTTGTTCTTCAAGATGTTTTTTTTTTTTTTTTTTGCCTCTTTGTTTTTGCCTGAGGATAACTGTTGATTGATAAACCCAAGTCTCAGTGCATCTAAAGAAATTGACTTGTGTAGTGGTTGAATGAGAATGACTCCAATAGGTTCCTGTATTTGAATTCCCCGTTAGAACTGGTTGGGAAGGATTAGGAGATGTGGCCTTGCTGGAGGAGGAGTGTCACTGTGGGGTGAACGTTGAGGTTTCAAAAGCCTGTGACATTTCTAGTTAGCCATCTGCCATGCTTGTGGATTGAGAAGTGAGCTCTCAGCTACTGCTCTAGTACCATGCCTGCCTGCTGCCATGCTCCCCACTATGATAGTAATAGACTGTAACCCTCTGGACCTGAGTCCAAATTAAATGCTTTCTTTTCTAAATTGCCTTAGTCGTTTTCTCACAGCAATAGAAAAGTGGCAACTAGTTACCATCATTAAAATCTTGATTCATATAAAGTAGGAGCCAAATATGAAATTGCTGGCTAGTGTCTGTGTTGAATTGGACATACACAGTGAGAAAACCTTGGCATGGAAAAATATTTAGATCTTAAATGTTTGGAATACTAAATGTTTTATGGTAAATAAAAGCTTATCATTACCTTCTGAGGATTTCTGCTCAACTTTGGTTCCTTCCTGACATTAGCTATTAAGATATTGTAACCTGTTTCACAATTACTATGACTTGGATTTGGAAAGGGCAATGGCTTAACATCTTAATCTCCAACATGTGGTGGAGGCACATAGGACTCAGTAGTAGTACTCAGTAAAGGCAACTGAATAATTCAGCTCCCTTCATTCTGCTACCTGCTCAGAAGTCTGTCTTATTGTACCTGTGTATGAATTCAAATCTTACTTTTCTCTTTTTCAAAACACCTTTTCCATATTAAAGTAACTTATATTTATGACTGAAAGTTTAGTTTATGGTAATAACTAAAAGAATTGCTATGAATTTTGAAATTGATATTTCTGTAGAGACAGCATCTGTTAATATAGACTAGCCTTTCTTTGACAGTGTAGACAATATTGGGACCATAGTATCAATATAATAATGATGTGCTTAGAGGATTTCAAGTTACTGACACCTGACATCTGTGAAATGAGATGATTTGAAAGGTCAGTTGCTGGAACTTGGAAGATGAAGTAGAGATGACGTAGAAGGTTCTGGGCCACTTAAGGGAGCCATACAATTGGCATATACCTCAGATTTTTACTTTTCTTCTCATTGAAGACCTGTACAATAGTTGTGTTATCAGTGGGGTAAGAAGTAAGAAGCTTTCTACTTTTGAAGACTTTCTGATAATTTACATCACATAGTAGTTCCAGTATACAGTTCTAATTTAGGCAGATGTTGCTTCCTCTCTGCTCTCCTCACCCCGTTCTTCATTCATTTAGTGCTTCTTGTAATACTAGGTACTGTGTTAAACACACTTCCTACAAAACCAAGCTTCTTTGGATATAGCTCCACCACTTATTAAGAAGTGTCTTCAGTTCTTTGTGCTTCAGTTTCTTCATCTGTAAGTATGTCAGAGTTGTATAGAGGATGAAGTAAATCAGTATGTAGGAGATAAGAAATATGGTGCCTGCATCTAGTGAATATTCACTGTTACAAAATACTTACTGTTGCAAATAAATTAACTTAAAATTTTTCTGCCCTTTTTATATTGCATTTCCTTAATCCAAAGGTTGAATTGGCAAGGCCATTTCACTAAACTGCAAGAGTATTATTGAAGGAATAAATGGGAAGAGGAAGAAATATTTATAAATGGCAAAGAAATTTTTTTGTATGTGGCAGACCCAGGGAAGGATACTTTTGGTAGCTTGAGTACAAATGAAATTTGGAGGATGGAAGAAGGTGATTTAGAAAATTATATAAATATGGAGACGTGTGGATGAAAATAGCTCTCTACTTGCAGTGAGCACCAGGGTTTGACTAGAAATAACGTCTTAATGACTAGCCCTTATGTGACCACTAGAATGTGACATGTGTCTGATCAAGGAGCAGACAGGATTGAGCAAACTCTAAGTTTACATTTGGAAGGGAAAAAAGATTGCATTCAAAAAAATAATGTGTTAAATAAAGATTTTAAAAGCAATTTGAAACTATTAGAGTTCAACGTCAGAAAGACTAATGAATGAAAGCATGTAAATACTCAAGAATTGGCTTCAAGTAAACATGAGTTGGTATTAAGGTGTAGCTAACTAAAGACATAAGGGGAAAAAAGGAATGTTTAGTATTCAGAGTAATGTGTAAACAAGCAGTGTCCAAAACCATTCTTTGATTGTTGTTATAATCACAAGGAAGGGTAGCAGATGATATTCCACGGAGGCTGGCTACCCACTTGACAAACGCACAGGCTCCTATTAAGTGGAGTGGTGGAGTCGCCGTAAATGCCACTGAAATATGATGTTTAAATGCATTTTGGGTAAAGTCAGAAGTACATAATAAGAATGATGAATTGACTCAAAAAAAATTTCTGTCTTGAAATACAGCTAACATTTTTCCTAAGGTCCAGGTAATATGTATGTATCCATCACTAGACTACCTGTCCTGGTTAAATGTCTCTTCAAGTTATTCCAGGGCATCAGAAAATTAACATTTTATGTTCATTACTCACTCCATAAGCAAACAACGTATAAACAACAACTAGCTCTTAGTAGTAGGGATCCATTTCTCAGTGTACACACACACACACACACACACACACACACACACACACACACACAATACTGAGCTTAAGATCCTTTCATATAAGGTTCCTATAGATTTAGGGATATGTGCAGTTTATCAGGATGATCTTGGTTCTGCTTTTTTCTTCTTACTCCTTAAAGCTTATGCCTTACGTTCATTATATTGATGTTTTTGATGTCCCCCAGGTCCCTGATTGCTATGGTTTCCCCATCTGGAACAATGCACATGTTTTTCTTGAGATGCTTGTCACCCCCAACTGTGTATCCATCATATACATACACACTTGCAATGTACACATGTGGAGCAGGGTGTCATCTTTGTTGCTGTACATCTTTGATGTGCATTAAAAAATCTTTTTTGTGGGTAAATGTGTGTGTGTGTGACACTGCACATGTGTGGAGGTTAGAGGACAACCTCAGATGGTAGTTCTTGCTTTCCAAAAGTCTCTTGTTTTCCTGTGTTTGCAAGGCTAGCTGGCCTATTAGCTTGCAGAGATTCTCCTGTCTCTGCCTGCTATCTTGCCATAGGAGCACTGGGTTTATAGATAGGTGCTACTACACCTGTCTTTTACATGAGTTTTGAGGATACGAACTTATGCATGAACCAAAGTCATGTTACCCACTAAGTCATCTCCCTGGCCCTAATGTACATTCCTTTATCAAAGTACACACCACATTGTGTTGCTAGATTGTGTACACTGTACACAACTACATTGCCCCTTTGGGTTCCTGAGATCAGAAACTCCTGTTATCTTGCTATCTCCAGCAGCTTGTCTAATACCCCGGAATGAATGAATGATGCAAGATGTCTTGGGGGAAGTTGGCGGTTTTATTAGGTTATAGCAAGTTCATACTTTATGAGATTTGACTTGGTTATATTTTAAAAGAATGTATGTAGAGAATATGTCAGGCTAGAAGATTCATGAAGGCAACTTTGCAAGCTGTTGAAATTGCTGGGATTGTCAGAAATTGCCTCATATCTGTAGGCATTGCTGAGTGTTTGAAGCTGTTTGTACCAATGCTTAGCAGGACTTTGGAAGCAGACCAAATTCAGATACACTATTTTTGGGAGGCTTGAGTGGCTATAGTCTTGAGTTTGCAGGACCAGTGCAAGTGTAGTTATCATTTCAGTTCTCCTCTGATCTGTAGAGCTGGTTGTTAGGCAAGAGTAAGACAGATTAGGGACATTGGAGGAGCAAGGGGCAGACACTGAACAGAATACTGACAGTACTGCATTATGATTGTGCTGTTTGCACACTAATTCCTACTACTGTTGTTAGCTATGCGACCTCGGAGAGGTCACAGAATCTGACTTTTTTCCACCTGCAAACTAGATGTGTTTGATCATTGTAAACTACATCTGGAGTATTTAGTATCACAAGATTGTAATCTCATTGCATGATTAAATGAGTTCATATCTTATTGTAAATACCCATAAGTATTGTCTAATACAGAATGTTTATAAGTCCTAGAAGGGTCAAATTGAGAAAAGGCTCCCCAGGCTAAGACCGTACCTGCCTTTACCGCTGCTCTTGTGTTTTAGCATTGATGTGTGAATGGAAACTAGGACACTCTTGTTGAATTACTAAAGGAAGATAACTAGGGCAGAGTTTTTAGAGACCCATGAAGAATGTCTTCTCTTTTATTTTTTTTGCAATGTCTTTCTCCTATGAAGATGCTCCTACTTCCTATTGCCCAGCCTCTGCATTCTCTTTGTGCTGTGGTGGACTGGACAAAGGAACATGGATAAGTCATCTACGTCTTGCATTGTTGGGTCCCCTATGAGAAAGGGGCTTGTGTCTTCCCAGTGTTTGAAACCCCAAAGAATGCCAGCAACACAACTGGAAGTGAAGTTTCTATCTGAACATTTATTCCACAGTCATAGAAACCGAAGATGGAAAAGACCTGAGGACATCTAGTCCATCCCCATGGTTGTACAAGAAAAGTGGCTGGAACAAAACAGCCTGTTCACGTCATGCTCACAAGACAGCGTTTCAGTTCTTGGAGCGGAGGGAGCAGTTGCACACACACTGAAATGAAGACGCAGGGCAAATATTCTTTACAGACCTTAAGGAAATACTTATAAGCACTTCATTTTTATAAGATGATTGGCAACTAAACGAAAGAGAGTGAGGGAATTCCTAGACTGGATGTGTTTGGTGGCAGGAGTTGGGTGGGGGAAAAGGCATAACAAAACAGTATAGTTGGCAAAGTGGTTTTAATGACTAGTAAAGCAATTTCTGCTGAAGACAGTGGATTTTCTGGTTTGCCTTTTCAAATATGAGTTGAGAGGAAAAGAGACTCTAAAGTAGTTTGTTTTCCTCTCTTGATCCATGCAAAGGGGTGCTCAACTTTGCCCCAAGCCTCTAGCAGACCCAACACCGAGGAGTTCTCTCAGTGACACAGTTATGTTCTGTGTGGCTCCACGTACCATTTCTTGGGGATGGAAGGGAAGCAGCCATTCCTATATAGGGTTTGTGCAAATCTTATGAATAATAGAAAATCCAGGCATACTATTGACCCTGACGTTTTAGGTCCCTATGGCTGCCTCTGGCTGTCCCAGCTGTTGTGACTTGCCTTTATTAGTTGGAGGACCACTCTCCTCTTGTGGTAAGTACATTGTAGAACCCTTACTGTCTTATCCAAACAAACCGGCTTACCCATCGTGCTTTATGAGCTTCCCATGGGAGGCCCCTTTGGAGAGTGGGCATGGAGTGTGGGACAGTTTGCCATCTTCCAGGTTTCCCAAGGGAGTGCAGGAAGCCAGGGAGCATCCCTTAGCTCATTCCAGTAGCCCTGCCCCTTGGACTTTCTTCTGTGAGCCTGAGGGGTGAGGGAGCTGAAGTGGAGCAGAACCAAGGTTTGGAAGGACTCTCCCTTTCGTGAAATCTTTGTACAAAACACAGCACACTGTTTCACAAATTGCAAAACACTGTTCAATTACTACCATTAAAAATTTTTGCTATTTATCATGAAAACTGCTTCACAAGCAATTATATGTTTTATTTACCCACGGACATGAAAGCATTTTAAGCAGTGTTGACAGTGGTTTGTCTGCCTTTACTCCTGCTGCTGCTTGCTGTATCCTGGCCACAGTAGTGGCAGTTACTCTTGGGAGCATGCACTGCTTCTCTGCTCTGTGGGTGGGCAGGGACTCTGCCATGTGACCACCACTACTTAGAATGCCTCAGTAGAGAAGCTTAAGATAAACCAGATATACAAAAACCCAAACTTACAAAACAGATAGTTTAAGGGATAATTGGTTTCATTACAAAAGGATTCTTTACAAAAGAATTCACCTCTGTGTTCCCTTAAACAGCCAGCCTCTCAAGTACAGTCGGAATATGAGTTGTTGAACAAATGTCCGTGTACCACAGGAGCATGGCTGTCATGTGAATTGAGGTACACTACACCTCAGCCTTGCAGGCTGAACAGCTATCCAGGGATGCTTAGTGCCGAGTCCCTAGGACACTGTTAGAGATGGGTCGGAATGGCCAAGGGGTGGAATCTGCCAAAGGCAGCTGAGGCTGAGAGTGCAGGAGGGCTGAGGACATTGCAAAGCACATTGTCCTTTGTTTTCAGAGCTTCCCCCCATCTCATTGAAATGTTCAGTTTGTGAAGTTGAAGTCTATTTTTCCAGGCCCCTGCCTTCTCTTGAATGTGTCTTAAGCTTTCTTGCCCTCCTAGGTTTACTGCACTATGAACTCATTGCTCAGGTCTTCTGATTACAGCTTAGGGCGTTACTGCCATCTTTATCTAGATCTGTACAGCTCTTGGTGGAGTATAGACATTGTGCCCCAAAGTGGGAGTTGTTGAATGACTGAAGCCCCTTTTAATGATCTGAGCACTGCTTGGGACAGAGTTGTGCATTTATTGTAAAGTGACTAGAGAAGCAGCTCTGATTAACAAGAAGGTCTACTTCTAAATGGAACCCTGGTGTAAGGGTGGAGATGTGGAAACTAGCCAATAGTTGGTGATGAGATAAAAAGAGGAAAAGTTGACAGGCTCTCCTTAATTACATGCCTAGTGGTAGCCAAACTTCCAAAGCAGTGTTTTTTTGAGAGTAACTTTAGGACTGTGCTATGTCCTGGGGTGCTGCCTAGCGTTAGCATTCTGAGCCCTCCCAACATTACTTCTGGTTTAGTCTTGGCAATGGTCACTCTGATGAGGGCCTTAGATATTATCCAGCCAACATTTGGGAGCATACAGGAAGTATAGAGATCTCATGTTTCTTCCCTTTCTCCATGCCAAACAATTGTATGAGTAGAAAAGTGATGCCTAAGCATAGGGGAAGCTAGGGTAATTATATCAGTCTCTGAGGGCATTAAATAGATCCAGGAGGATAATCAGAGAGTCTAGAACTTACCGTAGTTCATCAGAGACCAGTAAATGTAAGGATGGGAGATGATGGAGCAGGGCAGACCCCAGTATTTGACATTTGTGATATTCACAACTCCCCTGGTTGCTTCTGGGGTTCCTTAGGCTAAGAGAGGTGACCACTGATCTGAGAACAGTTTATCTATGTAATATGCAGAACATTTCCCTTAATGGAATATCAGCTCATAGACCCTGTCACAGGCATTAACTAAGGGATAGCACAGGTTCTTGTTAGGACATGGCCTTCCTTTGCTTCTCTTTCTTTTAATAAAAGGCACACACTATGGTGGAGATGATTAGTTACATTAGAAGTCTAGTGCAATACATTCTTTAGCCAAATTGCCTTTCTGGCCCAGAGCTTTATTTTAAAAGCACCCAGTGAATCCTTAATGCCCGATCTGTCTGTCCTTTGCTCTCACTCTGCATCCCTTTTCCTCTCCTAGTGGTGACTCAACTACTAAATGTTAGTCAGGATTGGGTCAGAGAACCAGAGCTGCTCAGGCCAGCTTAGCCAGTCAAGCCTTGCCTGTGGTAATTCTGAGCTCCATTTATTCTTTATGTATCTGCTCTGCCCCAGTTTTCCTGGCTCCTATCCTGCTCATTCAGAATGTAAGATCAAATCTAGATTGGGGAGTTTTATCAAATCTGCAATGCTAGACAATTCCATTTTGTAATTATATTAAAAACCAACCAAGTAAGACACAGGTATGAGCAACGGTTTTTATCTCTTGTTGAAGTGCAGAGAAAGGGCTAAAAACCAGAAATATTATTGTGGCACCAGGTGAAAAGGTTGACAGGAGCCAGTGTTGTCTGGCTGCTTACCAATCCCCTTATACAGATTTTACTCCTGACTAACTCTAGGTTCCTTCTGTGGAAAAGATTGCTACCCTGGAGACCTGGGATGGGGGGTGGGGGGAGTTGTGTGTGGGGAAAGCTGTTGCTGCGTGTTAGGGCAGAACAGCACAGTTCACTGCCAGACCCCACACCTTTGTTAGTCAGTAAAAAAGAGCTTTATGAAGTGCCTCAGGGGCTTCAGAATACCAGGGGCTGAGAAAGGGGAGCAGTGGCACTGCCTAGGATTCACAAGTCCGGTTTGTCCTTTGATACTCCTCCAGCTCTGTTTTCCTACTTACAGCCAACTGCAGCTCTTGTCGGATCACTTGGATCTGCTTCTCCAACTCGGAGAGTTCCTGCATCACTGAGTTCCGGGCTACATTGAGGGAGTCTGCTTTTCCATTGGTGGTCAGTGAGGCAGGGAGCTCTCTTCTTGAAGGAAGAGGGAAGTCCTGGGGGGTCTGAGTACCCAGCTGGTTTTGTCCTTCCTCGTCACTAAAGATGTATTTTCGTTGGTTGTCATGACTCAGATTGGAAGTATTCCACACCATGAGCTGCTGGGGTCCCACATTGGACCTAGGAAATAGACACAATTCAGAGTCCCCCTTCTGTCTTGCAGCTCCATCTTCTCAATATGCTATGTGAGCGGCAGAGAACTAGTTATGTTTGTAGAAATGAAGTCACCAAGCCATGAGTGGACTGCCTACTTAGAGTACCATAGGAACAATAGGAGCCATGAACTGAATTGAAGGACTTCTCAAGCCTTCTGTTGCTTTGGCATTGGAATTGGATATCTTCTGATGAAATGGGAAATGGTGCATTGGCTTATGAATAATTTAAAGTGTGTGCGGGCGGGGGGAATGAGGAGAGAATATGTAGGTGGGTGCCTTCATTGCCAGGACAAACACGTTGAGGACACAGCAAGACAGTCTGTGTTTTCCTCTATCACCTGTCTTACTGCTTTAGACAGGGGCCACTCAGGCATCATTTCAGCTAGGCTGGCAAGCCAACAAGCTCTCCAATCTGCCTGGTCCCAATCCCCAATCCTGGGGTTACAGACACATATAGTCATCTTGGGCTTTAACTTTGGAATTCAACTCTGGTCCTCATGCTACAAGAACAAGCACTATCATCTGCTGAGCCATCTCTTCACATCTAGGTACACTTTTATACCTTACCTATAGGCAGTGTGCACAAAGCAGCACTGCCTGGAGACATCATAGGACTATAGAGATTAAGCCCTAGTAAGAGTGAAAAATCTTCACTTGGATGTAGTGCTTTAAGTACTGGTTGGTTGTTTGGTTGTTGGTTGTTAATGCTTTATGGCTGACTTTCAGCCCTTCTGGGCCATACTGGGCTTCAGGGGAGATAAAAGGCATATTTACAAAGGTTTTAGCAAAGTGTTTCTCATTACTGGGGTGACTTCATGTAGGTTGAGAATGACAGCTCAAGTTTGATGCTTAAAAACAAAGTCAAGAGGCACCCTTGATTCTTGTGGAGGTGATGATGACTAGAATTAGATTTACAGTTCCTTCAGGCTTGTATGTACCACTTGCCACCATCATGAAGTCATGGCTGTACATATTAGTGGGTGTGGGAGAGAGCTGGGCAAGTTTCTAAATACACCTTGACAGTTGGATACAATGAGAAGAGTTTCTCTCTGTGAGACAGCTTAGTTGAAGCAGTGTGACTACTTATTCCTGCTACCCTGGAGGAGAAGGAAGAGGAGGAACACTATGATCACTTTTGCAGTTTCCCACATGGCATAGCACAATAGGAAACCCCTATTAAGTCCCTGTATTTTGTTTTCATAAAACGGAATCAGCTTTATTCCTGGACTCCTAATTGCCTGAGAGAGTAGAGGTGGAGGCCCTAGGGTGGAAAAGACGAGGGGAGGGGAAATGATTTCTTGATGCAGTTAAATGGTTGAGAACAAAACACAGACTTAATAGAATGGTTTTGTGTTTCTTTGCCCAGAAGTAGATTACTGAGGTGGTTTAATTCTTTATTCCTTTTCAATCCATGGCCCCTTTCCATGGTCTGTGAGGCTTAGTCTCATAACATTTTTTTTTGTTTTGAGACAAGGTCTCACTCTGTAGCCCAGGATGGCCTGGAAATCATTATATAGTCCAGATTAGTCTCAAACTGATGGTGATTCTTTTGCTTTCATCTCCCAACTGCTGCTATCTACAGCCAAATACTGTCACCCTTGGCTCTGGTCTCATTATTTGTTTTGCGCACTAGGAAGGTTGAGAAGTTCCAAGCCTGTGCAAATGACTTTGCACATTGTCATTCTCGAATCTCTGCAGATAATATAAGAGAGAGTCCACAAGCTTTATAGTTGGCCCAATAGAGGACAATTGATCAGACATCCCTTAGTGTCTTCCCCCCTTTTCCTAACTTGGCTGTAGATATCTGCATGAACCCAGCTGATCCATAGATCAGTAAGCAATTCATTCTATTTATTAAGTATTGGAGTGACACAGCAGACACTGTCTGAAACCTGCCCAGGGCATTGACACAAATGCACTTCAAACCTTCTCATCATTCCTCACAGTTATTCTTGTTGAAATCCCATAGATTTAATAGAGATCACTCTAGGTCATGGTCTAGGTGAAAGTTCTACAGTGATTCTACCTACAGCTGACCTGACCTTAGAATCAGAAGAGATGATGTGGTTACAAGTTCTCTTCTAACTTTTAACTTTTCACACCTGAGTAAATAAAAAATTACATACAAAAACTCTCTCGAAATATTCATTAATGTGTGTTAACTGTGTGTTGGATATGCATTAAAATATGCCACAGTATTTTGGCTTAGAACTTTTCCAAGCTACCAATCTCATGTTAATCTTCCATTCACCTATCCCTCTAAACTCATTCAATAAATATGGATAATGGAGGATGTCGTGTCATAATGGCATGAGCATTTGCATTGTATTCTTCCAAGAGAAGAGAGAAGGGTGGCAAACTTAACTCTAGTACTATAGAATGACTGAGAGTAGGCTAACACTAAGAGTAGAGTTGTCTGGCCATTCTATTAGAGTTTGTAGGTAGCTATAGTGATCAGATACTTAGAGACAGGCAATCTGGTTATCCAAATCTTGGAGCATCTGTATGAAAATAATAAACTAATAAACAAAGCTGGATGTCTTTGTAACATACTCTAGTTGCTAGCATTGCTGCTGTGATAGTTGATGTATGGCTCTGGGCTACCTATGAATGCAAGGTGGTAAATGCTTAAATAGATAAGGTGTCTAATTAGAAGGAATGAGTATTATATTGTTGGCTTTAGGAATGTTTAGGTTGTGTTTTGGTTAAGTCTTCTTTGGTCTTCAAAGTGGAATGAGAAGTATTTCACAATAAAATGAGCAAAACAGGCTTCGTTGGAGCAGTTATGTAAGACTGAAACACTATGCCACTGGACTATTAAAAACTGATACCATAACTATGAGACTTCAAACACATGGAATTTGGAAGGTTGCAAGCTCTGAGTTATAGGGAGATTTCATTGTCTCTTAAATTCTCTCCAGTCATAGAACACTCCCAACAGTATTCTATGTTCTGTCACAATGCATGTCTGTTAGTGACAGGTTGAAGATTAATTGGGCCACATATGAAGACCTAGTCTGTCTTAGCCCCTTGTCAGAGTAGGAAGCTCCTGCAAGAAAAGTGGAGAAGTGAGTGAAGAGACACATTTGGCTCTCAGCTTAGATGAAGTAGGCAAAAGAATTCCATCAAAGGGACAAGGTCACTGGGCTTCTTGTTCTAGTCCTGGAAAAATGTTTTGTAATTGTAAAACAGTATTTTATAGCTATGTCTTCTTGTGTTACTCTGGTTAAAGAATTTTAGAAAAATCTCTCTAAGGTAACAGAATAGCTGTGACCTGACTAGTCTGTAGCTTTTTACTAGCAGACTTGCACTGTGACAAGGGGATGCTATACTGACAGCCAGGTGACAAGTAATTCTGTGACTGGAAAGGAGCCTAAAGAGATTATAAATGATTCTGACAAGCTAGATGCAATCCGGAAAGAAGGGGCTAGCAGCCTCAGAGGAGATACAAGCTAGACAAGAATCCTGTTGTATACCATTTTCCTTCTGTTATGAATGAGAGGTGTTAGTGTCAGATCTTAAGATTACCCAGAAATCCCAGCTTTGAGTTGAAGATGTGCCACCCATTTGCAGAGCCAATGCCCTACTTGAGGCCTTTGGGCATGTGAGAGATCCAGGAAGGCAGCCTCAGGCAGCTGTAGCAGAGGCCAACAAGCAGCAGACTCAAAGTGTTTCTGACATCTTCAATCACCTCCGATGAGGATGCAGCCATCCACAGGGTAGCTGTGGTGGACCTTTGAGACATTTGGTTCTTTTTTCTATTAGTGAGGACCTTTTCTAGGGAGTTGGGAGAGTGTCAGAAAGTGGACTTAGTAGGGATCTCTTTAGTCTGTTTCACATATTTTTAGCAGTGCTAGAGAGGTGGGGAATTGAAACATGGCTAGATGGCAATTCCAGGTGAAAAAGATTGCCGACAAATTAAGGGTTCTGTGCATATGGTACAGGATACTTGCTTACATTTATTAGGCATTTGCTTTACTTTCCGGGATTTCAGTTTACTATCTTATTTATAACTCTAGGCAGTTATACAGCTTCTACCTCTTTCACAGATGAGTCTAAGGCACAGATGTTAAGTAACGTGTTGTAAAATGTTAGAGACAGGACTGGACCCAGGTGCCAGTCTCTGCAGTGCATAAGTGTATCCCAGCACACACATATGTGTGTAGTCATGTTTATTTTCTTTTTTCCTTCATTATAGTGGAAAATCCACGTATTTGTATGGATTTTATTTATCAACAGATGGTCCAGGTTTGGTCTGAATACTTATTTAGAGGCAAGTTCCTTTTGAATAAGGGGTATTGTCACATGCCTAAACTTTTATTTTAGTAAAGGCAAAGAATGCTTTGACTTCTTACCTCTTTTCCACTCGTTTTGTCTTGAAATGTGGCTGCTTTTCTTCTACAAATGATGTGTTTAATGCTCTGTGTAGCCTCTGGTAGGAAGAAAAGATTCATAGAGATCACTTGCAATGTGTGTCTCGGGACAAAACACTGCTTGGGATTTCACAGATTATCTAGTAGTTACAAACCTTGGCTTCTTTAAAAAAAATTTCAGGCATGCGTGAAATTAGGTCAACATTCAGCAATTCCACAGTGCAAGGTAATAAGGACTTTAAATTATAAATTATTATTTTAGAAGAAGAAGCAATGCATAGGATGGTGAAATGGAAAATGATTCAAAGAAGCGACAGCCAACAACTCCTGTGTGGTATAGAGCCATGTACAGTTGTCAGAGTTGGATCAAAAGCAACCAAAACAAGGAAGGAAAGCAGGTTTCCTGAGGCTTTAATTATATTAACATAGAACAGAAGACTTCACTTGTCTTCAGATTTCAAGGAGAACACCGACTCCCCAGAAAGTATGAAGAACAGGGTCCAACTGTGTGAAAATGTTATCTGTTCAGAAAACAAAAACAAAACAAACAAAAACACAGAACAAGGAAGTGAATAACAGAATGGGTGAATGACAAAAGCAGGAACATGTTTAGCCTCTCTTCAAGAGGTGAGGTGAATCGTGGAGTATCAGGAGGCAAAAGGGACTCCATACTGTGGAGGTGGGGTGGCTTCTCCACCTTACATGGTCAGATGAAACCAGGCATCCTGACACACCCTCTGACTACACCACAGATGTCCACAGTGGTTTCTCACGAGGAGAGAGATGCAGAGAAATGTGTTCAAGTGGTCTGTGTCAATAGTTTTAATTATTTTTGTAAATTAGGTGTTGGTGTCTATCTTACAAGAGATAACATTGCTTCTGTGAGACATGGCCTCACATAAGCAGGCCTCAGAATTCCTGACAGAGAAACACGGACCAGGGAAATGGGACTACCTGAAAGCATACAGGAACTTGGACTCTTACTAGCTTTCATTTTAGAAAGGAAAAAAATCTGTGGGGAACAGATTTTCACATCATCTCTTCAGATGATCTTTGTTAAGTGAAACTGGGTGTAAAACAGTTATATTGTGTCCTCTATGAGCATCAGTTGTGTTTCAGGAAAGGAAGGGATACTGTGAGTCTTCAATTTATTGGAAGATGGGTTAGTGGAATAAAGGGAGTTCCACCCTTGAGTGCTTGACCATCCTTCTCTTGGTTCCTTGCTATTTGTCAGTTGACAAACTTCCCTGGGTCTTTACTTCCCCAAGAATTCTTAAGTACAGGAACATTGGCACAAGAGTCCTGCAGAACTCACCTGACTGGTGTGCAGCCAATATTGGAGCTTGGACTTATTTTTGATTCGTGGTAGGAGCAGTCTGTACACTATGTGTTCGCCAATGGTTGTCAAGATGGAGAGTCCAAATCCTATGCACAGCAGCACGAAGAGTCCAGAGAAATGCTTGATGCCCATTTGCAAAGTCTGTGTGTGATAAGACAGGAAAGGCCTTGAGTGTCACAACCCATGCAGCCCAATGCTCATTTGCTCCTTTTGATTCAGTGTTACTTTAGCTGGAAATCTTTCCTCCCTGGGAGAACACCACTATACTCCAATATGAAGGACTCACCCCGGGTTACTGAGAGCTGCTGCTGAGCACAGGCCTGTAGTGCTGCTTACACATGGATCTCACTGTGTGTCATCCCTGTGAGTTGTACAAAGGCTTTGGGTCTGGGCTATGCTTCCATTTTTTAGAGGCGGGGAAATAAAGAAGTATAACACTTGGATACGTGAAATGGTTGAATAGCTATGAAAGAACCTCTTTCAGGAGTGGAGAAGGAATAGATTTAAGGAAAAAAGATCAGGAGTTGAATAACTGTGGAAGTGAGATCTGGCAGGGAATGTCAGAACCCTTTAGTAAAATGAGTAATAGTTGTGGAAATACACCAGTGAGGTAGAGAAAGTTGCACCAGGCCGCAAAATGAGGCAGCTGTGGAGAAGAAAAAGGAGCCCCGCCTCCTGGCTTTTTGTGAGGAGTTTTACAGCTTTATAGTTAAGGAAACATAGGATGTAAAGTTCTTGTATGACACACTAGCAAGCCTAGGTCGTGGAGCCATTATCATTGATAACTAGTACTTAATATGTTATTGCTCTAGATACAGAGCAAACAGCAAGAATTACTGTTGGGTTTCAACATTCACATCATCAAATGTTCAGCAAAAGCTTTAAATGAGCCATAGTTTTTTATAAAGCACTGTCAAGATGAGGGAAAAAATGTAGTTTACACCGGGTCGCCTTGCCATTAAACACACAAACTCTGTTTTCTTGTGTATAACAAAACCTCATTTTCCTCATATTATTCCAATAGGTAATGAGCTGTCTTGGGTTTATGTATCATTTTATTTAAACTCCTTTTATACCTACACAATTATAGGCTATTAAAAAGGTTTTATTTAGTTTATGTATGTGGGTATTCTGCCTTCTGCCTGCATGTATGTCAGTACAACACATGCACATGCCCATGGGAGCCAGAGAGAGTGCTAGACCCCTGGAGTGGACTTAAAGACAGTTGTTAACTTCCACATAGGTGCTGGGAATTGAACATGGATTCATTCTGTGGAAGTGTAACCTTAACCACTAAGTGTATGCTTAACACTAAGCCATCTTTCTAGTTCTGTTCTGTTTGTCTCCTATCTATCTACTTACCAACCTACCTTTCTTCCCTCCTTCTTTCCTTCCTTCCCTCCCTCCCTTTTTCTTTCTCCCCCTCTCTCCTTTTCTTCCTTTTTCCCTCCTTCCCTCCCTCCCTCTCTCCCCTCCCTCCTTTTCTTTCTTCCTTCCTTTTTTTCCTTTATTTTCTTGTTTTTCAGGACAGGGTTTTACTGTGTAGCTGTATTTTTTTTTTAACCAGATATTTCTTAGGCATGCCTGATTCTAAATGTATATATTCATATTGTGATCTTATATTAATTATCTCCATTACACATTTGAGGGGCCTAGAGATTAAATATGTTTCCCCAAATTCAACACAGTAATATGTGGGGGAACCAGGCTGCAGGTACAGGTTGACATCTGTGCTTTCTGTTAAGTGAACCTCTCTTGCACATATTCTTTGCTATTTGAATTCTATGTATTCTCTATAACAAGTTGCCAAATATTTTTATTCAAAAATTCTAATTTCAATCTGAATTGAAAATCCACTCTACCCTGCCTGTGAGCATCAACCCAAATGTTTGATGTGATTAGTGTGAGGCTGAAACTGTAATTCAATCTTTTCCTCCATGTGTCATTGTGCTTGTTAGCTTTTGTCAACTTGATACAAAGTAGAGGTACTCAATAAAACCTCAATTGGGGAATTGCTTCTACCATATTGGCCTGTGGGAAAGTCTGTGGAGACATTTTATTGATTAATGATCAATGATGGTGGTGCCACTACTGGGCAGATGGTCTTGGGTTGTGTAAGAAAGCAAGCTGAGCCAGCCATGGAGAGCAAGCAGATCATTGTTCCTGCCTCTGTTCCTGTCTGAATTTCTGCTCTGACTTCCCTTGGTGATATGAAATAAACCCTTTCCTGCCCCAGTTTGGTTTTTGGTCATTGTTTTATCACAGCAATGAAAAGCAAACTAGGTCAGTTATGTTCTCTTAAATTTGCTGTGCATTTGTTTTGCACCTGCACCCCAGCTGTAGAGCACTTGCCTGACATACATAACTCCCTAGGCTCAATCTTTGGCACTCAAAATGAATAATAAAGTAAGTAAATAAATAACTGTCTGAGGTTAAATGCTTCAGATTATGCAGCCATCCTTCCTGGATTGTGATGCCACACATTGTGCATTAGGTATGTACACCTAGATGTCTAAGAACATTTTTGTGATAATTAAGACATGTAGTTGTGGTTTTGAATTAAATGGGAATATAGTTTGTGTTTTCCTGTGAGAGCAATGGAAAAGGCTGCTACCATCTGCAAACTCTGGTCACCACATTTCTAAGAATACTAGATCCAGATAAAGAGAGATAACTAATTATCAATTATGTGGTTTGTGCCTAGACCATTGATAATTTCAGGACAATGTAGAGACCAAGATCACCAATTTTGTTGGTGCCCAAACTGTTTTGTATCCTACTCATAAGTGGACAGTTGGAACACCATTCCCAAGCCTCCAGTAAGGAATGTTATGGAAGTATTTCACTCATCATTTGAACCTTGCATGTTAATGATGCTCCCACGCAACTGATCCTTTTTGCCATTCACAGGCTGTCTGTACCACAAAGCAACCACCCCACCTCATTCCTCTCATTCTTTGCACAGCTGTGTGTATCCCAGTAGAAATCCTCGTGCTAGGAGTGGGACACATCCCTCTGAGTTTTTGGAAAATGTAACCCTTTTTGGTAAGGCAACTGAGTTGGTAAAACCCAGAGGTCTTCCAAACAATACAGGCTATTGTATGCTTACCAGAACCAGATGACCTGTTGTCAAATACCTACGCACTTTGGTTTCAGGACATAGAGAAAGCAAATTGAAGCTGAACTGGAAGCTTCTGGATAGCTTTGATTGGTCTACAAGGTGCTACTCAGGCAACTGAGAAAGAAAGGACTGGAGGCTGAATGCTATAATACCAATCTGGTAGGCAAGGTGTGCCCATTGATGCAATAATGGCATGAGCATTATGGAAGTAACTTTTCTAATTGGATTTGAGGCCTTCTGAACAAGAAATATTTCTGTTACAGTAAGTCTGGTCAAAGCCTATGGCCAGGCCATCATAAACCCTAAGAGGGGATCAACTGTTCCTATTTTGTTAAACTGTCTTAATATTTATGTTTTTTATTTTTAGCCTTGGTCAAGGAAGTTTCTGTTTATAGTGTGTTCTGGTTAATTGGTCAAAGTGCTAAGAACACTGTTGAGTGCTTATCCCTAAATGGTATATCTATAGTTTCCTCTTCAAACCTCTAGAAACACAACAAAAGGGGAAATGGAAAAGATGTAAGGGCCTGAGAATGGGAAGGAATGTTTTCAAACTGTTTTCTGCATATGGCATGGCAGGAATGGTTACCTGTATAAGACTGAGCTCATCAGCATTCCATCATGGAGAAGTGAAGAACTCATGAGACCCCACCTCCTTCTAAGGAGCCATAAGCAGTTCAATTTGCGATTACAGCCGGGTGTGGTGGTGCATGCCTTTAATCCCAGTGCCCAGGGAGGCAAAGGCAGGCGGATTGCTGTGAGTTCAAGGCTAGCCTGGTCTAAAAAGCAAGTCCAGACAGCCAAGCCTACACAAAGAAACCATGTCTCGACCACCCCCCAAAATTAATGTGAATTTACTGTATCCTTCTAATATAAAATAAATACTTCTTTGAGACAGAGTTTCATATTGTAGCTTAAGCTATCTTGGAACTCACTATGTACTTCAAGCTGTCATTGAACTCATGGAAATTCTCCTGTCTCCATCTCTTGAGTGTTGGGACTACCATGCTTAGCTTTACACAGTTACTTGAAATTTTTCTCTTTTCATTCAATGAAAATGAAGGCACAACATACCCAAACTTATGGGACACAATGAAAGCAGTGCTAAGAGAAAAATTTATAGCACTAAGTGCCTTCAAGAATATGAAACATCTCATACAAGCAACTTAATGGCCCAACTGAAAGCCCTCGAAAAAAAGAAGCAGACACACCTAAGAGGAGCACATGGCTGGAAATAATCAAACTCAGGGCTGAAATCAATAAATTAGAATAAAAATAAACTATTCAAAGAATCAATGAAATCAAGAGCTGGTTCTGTGGGAAAATCAACAAGATAGACAAACCCTTAGCCAAACTAACTAAAAGGCAGAGAGAAACTATCCAAATCAGCAAAGTCAGAAATGAAAAGGGGGGCATAACTACAGACTGAGGAAATCCAAACAATCATTAGGTTATACTGCAAAAGTGTATGCCACAATATTTGAAAATGTAAAGGATATGGACAATTTTCTTGATAGATTCCATTTACCAAAATTAAGTCAAGATCAGGTAGAATGATTGAATAGTTCTGTATCCCCAAAGGAAATAGGAAATTGGAGCAGTCATCAACAGTTTCCCTTCAAAAAAAAAAAAAAAAAAAAAAAAAAAGCCCTGGGCCAGATGGATTCAGTGCAGAATTCTATCAGACCTTCAAAGAAATGCAAACTCCAATTTCAAACTATTCCACAAAATAGAAACAGAAAGAATGTTACCAAATTCATTCTATGAAGCCACAGTCACCTTGATACCTAAATCTCACAAAGACCCAACAAAAAAGAGAACTTCAGACCTACCTCTCTTATGAACCTTGATGCAAAAGTACTCAATAAAATACTTGCAAACCGAATTGAATCCAAGAACACTTTTAAAAGATATCATCCACCACGACCAATTAGGCTTCATTCAAGGCATGCAGGAGTGGTTCAATATACAGAAATCCATCAATGTAATCCACCATTTAAACAGAGAGAAAAGCCACATGATT